ACTGTAACCATGCTACCACCAATAATGGTTGTGATCTTAGCGTACCTTCTCCTGTTCTGTTCGGCTTTTCTCATTCTTTGGATCAACGCCTGCATCAAGGAGCATCATTCGGTATGCCATTATGTGTTAAGATATATTTTATCTTAAATCTTTTATTTTTTTTGTAAATAGTTGGTTTATTTATTTTAAAAAATCTATTTATTGTAGCCAGTGACTTTTCGCCATGTATTCTGTGACATTCAAGAAACTTTTATACTCTTTACTGCTGATTTCCTGTGCATAATATGTATTACTAATACACTTTTTTCTTAATATAACAACCAGAAAATTTGAAATGCATTTTCTCTATAGATTTTTAGTTTTTTGATTGGATAATTGGACTGTTATAATAATTTTAGTTTTCCTGAACTTGATTACTTCGTCAGTGATTTATCAATAATCATTTATCTGAAAATGTTATTCATAATTGAGCAAGTTGTACGAAATGGGAGTGAAAAGGTCGGCATTTCTATCAAAGTCGTTGACTTGCATTTTAAATCTGATTACAGTAATATTAACCTGAATAATAAATATGAATTTTGAAAATAAGACAAATACTATAAACCACTACTTTACCTTGCTTGTTTGCCTCATTTTGCCTCACGTAATGTGCGTTAAAGCGTCATCACAATGCCCCTATCTGTTTCTGTCAGCTGCCATTGCTCCAATTGTTCCATAGATAGCTTTCCTGCCCTTGTTATTTCATTTCCTAAATGTTTGCACTAGGTAATTTTAGATCATTCATGTTGTCTTCCTCCAGGAACCAATTTCATTTTAACCCTCTGGATACCGTATTCTTTTGTAGTGCAAACCCTTGAATACCGGATTCTTTTGCAGTGTAACAAGGTTTTTTGCGTTTTTTGAGTATACGTCGTTCTGGTGGATTTTTAGGAACTTTCTGTAAATTATACAGAAAAATGTTTCTAAAAACAAAGAAAGCTTATAGAATAAGCTTTCATTTGATGTATAATTTATATTTTTGGGAATTTTTTTTCATAATAAAATATAATATAATAGAAATTACAAAAAAATGCTACATATAAATCGTCAGCAAAAACCGAAAAAAAATAAATTATAGCCAAACAAAATAAAAACAAATATAAAACATTCCTATTCCACAAAGTTATATAATGTATTTACCCAACCATCCATAACTATAAGCGCGATCTTTCCATTCAAAGGCGTCGACTACCCTCAATTTCTAGGCCTAGGCTCATCTTCATCAAAAATATCTCCGCCGTCAGAACTGCTTGAAGCCCCATCATCGCTTGAAGTCATCATCGCTAACAGGCACGTCTAAGTCTCGCACATCTAAAAATTCACCTTCATCGCTGTCTGAATCAAAAATCAGGTCAATCGCTTCTCGGTAAGATCGTCATTATAAGCTCTTATCTTATTTTTAATTAATAACGATTTCAAATTGATATTTCTAAAAATTTTTATATAAGCGCATGTGAGTTCTTCACAGATTTCGAAAAACAAAAGCTTCACGCATGCGTGTTCAAAATTTCTGACGTATTGGAGCTAAAATAAAAACAGAAGAGCGATTTGAAAACCACCTATTTTTAGTCACGAAATTTCGATTGCAGTCGAAAATGGGAATTCTCGGTTTGAGGTCAATTTCGACTACAGTCGAAGACGGTATCTAGAGGGTTAAGATCAATGGAAGTGCATTGTTCTTTATTTTGTGATGAAAAAGGAACATACTATTTATTTTACAAATGGTCCCTCATTCAGTCATTGATGCTGGGTGAAAATATAAATACGAAAGGTGACAATTGACTATGGTGCAAAGTTACTGGTTTATTGAACAAGTCTTCTTGATACAAGATGATGAATAAGAATATTGTGATTGGATATGATTCAAGGTGACCTTTGCAATGTTGCTATTGACCTGTCTGCTAAGCACCACCCCTTAAATGATGCCAGACTAGTGATCTGGAGATCGTGGGTTCAAGTCCCATCCGAGAACAACTTGCGATTTTTTTCTCAAGTGTTTTCACACATGCTGAGTATTCAGTACATTTTCACGTCAGGTTGTGCAAAATTACACCTATACCCTTGAATATTGTTGCGAAGGTCCCGCAAAACGATAGTGTAAATACTGTCTCTTATACACATCTTACTTCTATGTAAACTTTTATATATTGTTAAGTGACAGTAACCCAGCTGTGGAAACATTATATAAAAATAGATACAAATACATGACTAATCAATATTCAGATGTCTCATGAATATTCAACAGTTCATCAAGCTGCAATTCCAAGCATTGTAGTATTTTTAATTTTTACCTACAGTATACAGTAGTTGTAGCTTTATAAAAAAAATTACATTTTCAAATTTATTGCCACCTTTTGAGTTTATATGAGATATTCATTGTTGTTGGAACCTAATAAGATTGTATACTTTATGAATATTTATAAGCTTAAAAGATTTACATATTGAAACAAAATCATTTTAATTCCAACAAGTACAAGTTTATCATATTCAACACTACTGCTGTCTGTTTCGAGTATACAGGATATTCGTCATTTGTGCTTTTAGTTTGAGGTTTACTGTAACCATGCTACCACCAATAATGGTTGTGATCTTAGCGTACCTTCTCCTGTTCTGTTCGGCTTTTCTCATTCTTTGGATCAACGCCTGCATCAAGGAGCATCATTCGGTATGCCATTATGTGTTAAGATATATTTTATCTTAAATCTTTTATTTTTTTTGTAAATAGTTGGTTTATTTATTTTAAAAAATCTATTTATTGTAGCCAGTGACTTTTCGCCATGTATTCTGTGACATTCAAGAAACTTTTATACTCTTTACTGCTGATTTCCTGTGCATAATATGTATTACTAATACCCTTTTTTCTTAATATAACAACCAGAAAATTTGAAATGCATTTTCTTTATAGATTTTTAGTTTTTTGATTGGATAAGATCAATGATTAGATGTGTTTGCAGTGAAAATTGTTTTTTAGGCTGTGGGAAGTATTGGTGGGAAGTATTGGTGTGAAGCACTTGCTTAAAAATTTCTTTACAACAAAAAAACTTAGGTTTTATATTTAGAGGTTTTGATTTCTATTATTTTTGTCTGCACTCAAGTTCAGAAACATATGTATAAAGTCAGTTTAGTAGTCTAAACTTTCATTCCTTTGGCTGCAGAAAGGTTGTGTATGACAGCAAGTTTCTTTCTATAAAATAGATTGGTGTAATAGTTGGGGTTACGGTATATAACTTCTAATCCCCAATACTATAAATTTTAGGGTTGTTTTTCTTTTTCAACTTTACATAAACACTATAAAAGCTATAGTAAATTGAATTTTTTAGATTTAAAGCTTAGTACCGGTATTACTTACATCTACATGGTAATTAAATTCATTATAAATTCTTCTTTATTAGTTTCCAAGAAAGTATGTTGTTAGTGCTCTCTGAATATATAAATATTTATAAAACAAATATAAATTGTGTGAACATTTGTGTACCTAATTAATATAATGTTTAGGCTGGTCGTATTATTGACAGAATTTCAGCTGTCTAGTTGTATAAAACAGTAAAATTCCATAATTAAAGTATGGCTGTACATTTAGGAGCTAGGTAATTCCTGTTTCAAAAAAATTGGGTGAAGATATGCCTTCCCTGTTTATTGTTTTTAGTTTCTCTACACACATACTGTACATGAAAAAAAAAACAAACCTAAAATATTATCTTAGGGTTGAGGTAAATCTGTCTTATATAAAGAGCATATTTAAATTTAAAGGTGTATGCTATATATTTAACTGAAGATTTTTATTTATTTTTTGCTAAATTTTATTAATTCATCAATAAATAAAACAGTAATGCTTATACATCATTAATGCATATTTTTTGTGCCTAAATAAATAAATAATAATAAAATAATCCTTTGATTGGAATATAGATTTAGGAATTTAGGAACTTTGTGTTTTCTCATCCCCAAATTTTTCATGCCATAATGTTCCACCTTTAATAACTAACCCCATGTTTCAGCTTTTAATTCAAATGTTGTTTCGGCGTTCGGCTCACATGTTGTTTCGGCTTTTAATGCCCATTTAACAGGGAAATAGCTATCTAATAATGTAAATGGCATGCTTAAGATACCAGGCATCGAGAGGACTGCTGTTTACATTCAGTCAACGAAGGCATAATGGTCTATGACATCACTGTCAGTTGTTTCCTGGCATAACATAGCCTACCTGAGTGGGAAGGCAAGACAAATAAAGTAGCGTAATTGAAAATTGGAAAGTGATTGACAAACTTTTTGAGCATGGATAATAAAGTATTGACAAGCTTAGCATATGCTAGATTACCTTCTTTTACCACACTTGATAACCTATTTGTCATCACATAATTTGATGTGCTTAATTATAGGCTTGTAAATTTGTTATAGAAAAAGTAACAAAACTCTTATGGGATTTTTACAAATATACAAAAAGTATTTTTGTTTTCAGTACCCAATCCTTCCCCTCTGAAATTGTAGAAGAGAATGTTGATTTTTGCACAACTATTCTATATTTCTTGTTGGAAATTGGCTAATACATTTATTATTATTATTATTATTATTATTATTATTATTATTATTATTGTTATTATTATTATTCTCCATTTTTTTCAACTATACTTGGTTGCTTAAAAATATTTGTTGGTGTTGGATAAATAATTGGTCATAAAAATCTATTATTTACATGTTGCATATTATTCTGAATCAATATTTTTACGCATAAATGTGTACAAATTTGTTTATGCACTTTTGAAAATGTTAATATTGAACAACCCCTTATCTTCAATGTAATTCTTAAGACATGGTTATTTATATAGATATGTGCAATGTTTTAAGATATTTACACAAAAAAAAAGATGATAAAACATACAGTGTCCCATATGATGGTAACAAACCTTTTTTTGGCGTAAATTTCAATTTTCAAACATGGTGCTATTTTTATCTTTCATCAGGAATTACATGATGAGATGGAAAAAAGACGCCGAGATCTTGAACAGCTTAATGCACAGGGCGACCAACTCGGTAGACAGGGAGCACAACCAGTCATTGAGCCTGCGATGGTAACCCTAAACAAACGATGGCTAGAAGTGGAGTCGCAATTTAAGCAGTACAAACGCCCAGTTATTGAAGACGTAATCGTTGAGGAAACGGTGAAAACCGTGCACACAGCGTTCACATTTGAGGAGCCACAGGAAGATAAACACGTAGAGGAAAATGTTAAACAGTTTGAAATGCAACTCGAATCTATAAAAACAAAAATTGCTGAAATCGAAAAGGATATGAATGGGTCATGCTTAGCAAGCACTCTACCATTTGAGAATATATCCGACAAAGAAGAAAAGTGCAAGGTAAGACAAATACATAACAAAATAATATATTACACTTAATTTTCTTTTTTAGCTCTGATGAGGAGCTCTAGAAACGCTCAGCTAATTGATTAATAGATCTTTTTTAGCTTTACTGCCTCTATTATACTGCCTGCATGAGGATGATTGATTAATAGTTGATTGATTAATAAATCTTTTTGGGATCTACTGCCTGTATTATACTGCCCTCATGAGGAGCTCTAGAAACACTTGACTGATTGATTAATAGTTGATTGACTAATAGATCATTTTTAGCTCTACTGCCTCTATTATACTGCCCTCATCGGAACTTTCAAGATTACAAGAACTTGTTTACTTAATATATGTAACCGCTTTACCTACTCTTTAATGTTTTTATTTCATAAGTTTCGTATGTTGATAAAACAAAAATCTTTTTGGGGCCCCCAAATTCTCTTGTCCATATCTTCATGTCCTTCTTAGCAGTTACATTGCACTGGGTAAACATGCTGTTCATCATCCCATAATTTAGAATACATGAGAAAAAATATGGGATGAAAGCTACCCTTTAGGCAAGCATATGGTAGAAATGATCTAAAAAACACTCCAATACCAAAGTACAATAGCCCTTTGCTTTCAGATGAGTGATGCTCTAAAAGTTCAGTCCTGCATCAATGTAGGGCAAGTGGGATAATGTCAAGCAATTTATGTTGACCTTTTAATGATGTACTATCTGACATTAAAAAAAGTCATCCACAGGTCACAAGCATCTAATCATAGCTGCTGCATCAGCAATTTATTGAGTGCTTTCAAAATAATTAAATTTTATGATTCAGCATCTTTCCTTGAGTTTGCAAAAGTAATGTTTCTGTCATAGTTAGTCCTATTCAATATTTTGTAGTCCCGTTTTCCTTTGGTGAGTTTTGTTGGCTTTTAAGAAGTACAAAATTCTGGTATATTCTAAAACCATAAATATATTTATGCTACCGGTACATTAGAGAGGTTAAATTTTATGTGATTCGTGGTGTTGACGAATTAAAGCATAATTTGGATCTACTGTATGTAAAAGCTGTACATATTTAATCTGTCACCCTCTTGAACATCCATCACACTTGTATCATCACTTTTATCATTACCTTTATCTGGCGCATCATCTGCATCGTCATCACCATCATTGTCATCATCATTCATCACTTTTCAACACCATGACCACCTCTTTCACCACCACCATTATTCAATTGTCATCAAAATTGCAACCATAGTTACCACTGTCATCATCATCATCACCTTCTTTATCCTCGTCATCGTCGTCTTTCATTCCTTTACCATTCCTTTCTTTTCATTGTTGTCGTCATCATTGCGATCATCATTACCTGGTTGTAATGGTTCCAACAATTATTAATCATCTTTATTAACAGAACCTTAAGCATCTCTTCACCACCACTTTATATGCCATCAAAACCAAAACTTACATAGGTCCTGGCATCTCATTGTGAATTCTTGGAGAATTTAGATTCGGATTGCGATAACTAACTGCATTATAACTGCCAGTGCACTGTGTAACTACCAGTGCCATGAAGAAACCTTATTAACTATGGTAGTTAGATTGCGACATATAAGTTAATGTTAATCCGCAAGTTTATTCCTGATTACTGTATTGCAACTTGATTTGACCATTGACTGAGGTTGTAGCCAACCTGTCGCTTAGCGACCTGGATTTTTAATATCTTCATGAAATTTTAAAAAGTCTAGTCGGATTGCGATGAATAAGTAAATGATGTATTCCCAGGTTTTTTAATCTTTATCTTCCGACCTGACTGCGAACTCGGCGACCTCGTAACAAAAGCAAAGAATTCATTACTCATGGTTATCATGCATCCGTCCATGAAATCTTGGTAGCATATTGCTGGACGGTTTCTCCTGTCGCTTGTATTCAATGCGAGAAGTAATTCTTTTGAATGTTTCATGCAAGAACGAATCTCACTCTGTCCTGTGTTCAAATGCAGATGTAATCTCGTTGGTTAAATATTCTGACAGATTTGGCTACGAACGATTGATTTGTGTACTAGCTTCAGGGTACTCCAGTTTTTAAGTCATTTGAAATTTTTAACGTGTCTGTGTTAGAGGTTTTTAGTTGAATTGAGTTCATTTGAGCCACGATTCTTGGACAGAATTGGATACTTCCGAAGGAACTTAGCAATCCATATCAAGTTTTTATGAGGTTGGTAGCTATTATTAGGCTGTACAATTATTTGTTTTGTTTGTACTGTAGGTGTAAGAAACCTATCAGGAAGAATGGAAGCTTATTATTATTATTATGATATTATTTAAGCTTCAATTACTTAAAAAAAAATATCAGATACGCTACCATTTCATTCAAAGGTAATTTAATAATTACCCATTATAAAACTCTGTTTTTAATGAATAATATTATCTAATTTTAACAATTGCAATTTAAACATATCTTCTGCAGGTTATTGAACAGTAGGCCTACAGTATGCACTATTTATGCTTTTTGTACACTAGGAGGTCAACTTAGCATGCCATTCTATAGTTTAAGCCATTCATAGATAAGTGTGGATACAAATAATGCCTCAATTCATTCTGTAAACAGTTAAACCTTGTTGCATAAATTATGAGAATACTGCTGCTTTTATATAGTACTTTCATTTTTTTAAGTTTAAATTCAATGTTTGTTTGTGGGAAATTTAGGTGTGGATGAGTGTGGTAAGGAAATTGCCTGCAGTTAAAACCTTGAGTAAACAGTGGATGGGTTTTGCAAGTACAAGCATAGCAAGGCCTTAAAAATTCAGGAAAAAAATATAAAACATTTCATTTTAGCTATGCTAAAATGTTGAATTCCCAGTTTTTAATCTCATGGCTTCCAGATAAAGTATTACATCCAGGCTGCGAAAAACAGTTTAGTGCAAAATTTGTTGGGAGTATACTTAAAAGATGATTCGCGTATGAGACAATCCCCAAGTTTTGAGAAGATCTTTGGATGGTTTTTGTATGTCATGCGTATAAAACAACCCCCTCCCCTCGTTTCATCATCAGAATTCCTAATTTTTGCTGGTTTTTATAGTCTTGATACTGCATCTAGCTTGCTAAAAATGCAGCCAAATGTAGGGCCAGTCTTCCAAATAATACCATTTTATAGGATTTTAAGTGTTTATCAAAATTTTATTTCGCCGCATTATAGTTGCATTCATTCATGCTAGCAGTTAGTAGCTTCATTTCAATAGTAAGTTTGCATGTTACACACCATCCACACATAAGACGGACATGATTTAAATAAAACATTGTATGTGTTCCTTAAGATGACCCCCCCCCCCCGTTTTTCAATCTTATTTGCTATTTTAAGCCTCGTCTTACATGTGAGTATATATGTACGGTAAAATAAGGGAAAGTCTTTAATATAACACATTTCAATAGTCATTTTAAAAGGATTCAATATCAACTTCTAATAAAATACAGATAGAAAAAAAAATCGTTTTTGCTGTTTACTTATCTCTTTTTTTTAAATATTAAAATCTTAGATTTTCTGCCAGCAAGTTTAGAGGTCTACTCATATGACAAACCAGATTAATATCTTCAACTAGGTCTACTTATATTATGAATGTATTGTTTATACTACTATTATTAATAACAGACAAGAATACTAATTTTCAATAGATTTTTTAATATAATATACAAAGTAATACAAATTAAACAATTTTTTTTTGTTTTTGAAGTATAAACACAAATAGCAAAAATAAACATAAATTCAACATTCAATCAGTCAAACAAAATAACTTGTATAACGCCAACTTCCATCACATGAAGTAAAGTTTGTTTTGTGGCATTGAATGACGATAGTAACATTTTCAGATTTTGCACAAAATGATTAATCATACACATTTAAAATCCATGTAATTTAGATGCTATACTGTAGGCCTAAACAGTACAGGGACCCTGTTATTGAAATTGTCAGCGCATTATGTTTGCTTATTTAACTGTTAATTAGATTATCAGTATGAATATTTGCAGGCGATCTGATTATGAATATCTGATTGTATTGTCAAATTTCTACCATTTTCCCTCCAGACTTAAATTCATCGATTTCCATAGGTCAGTTTCAATCATATTTGTTTTAATCATTTTCATAATTGTAATAAGTAATGAAATGCTGATGCCTGTGCGTATGATATGTACGGTGTTATGTGTACTTACTATGTATCGAATTACACCTTAAATGACAAATTTCCTTCGCATTTTCAACCCACTGTTTCTGAACACATTTCACATTCTATTTAACTCCATGACATTTCCAATCCTTAATATTTTCTACCTCTTCATGTTTCAAACCAACTTCATGTTTTTAACCATTTCTAAACCCCTTAACATTTCCAAACCCCTTCACTTTTCCATCCCATTCAAATTTCAAAATCCCCTTTACATTTTCAACCCCTATCATGTTTCCTATCCTCTTCATATTTCAAATTCACTTTATATATTTGACACATTTGCAATTGTCCCATATTAATAATAATAAAAAAAAAGTTCAGTATGAAAATCTCTATTGGTAATTGAGAATGATATGAATAATAGCACTTTGTGTTACCATTTAAGACCAAATAAACAAAATTACTAGTTTCTCGTTTCCTCACACATCATTTTCTCTGCCTCTCTCCAAATTGTTATTTGATATTTTGTTTATTATTTTCATTTCATTTAATTTATCTCGTCAAAAAAACAATAAAATTGACAAACACAAGATAACAGAGAGCAAAAAACTTCGCTCAGTTGTCAGACAGTATTATATAAATTAAATTAGCATAAAATATTCAAGTAAAACAGGCCGATCAATAAATTTAAATATAAAAATATTTATTATTTTTTTCAAAATGTACAAAAATATGGCTTACCGTACTCACATCAGTAAAATTCCTCTCTCGATCGTGGTTGGGGATTATCAATAAAGGTATAAATCATAGTGCTTCTTTTATTTGCTTTCAATGTGTCTACTTTATTAAAAGTCAGAA